ACCTTTGCATTTGAAAAAAAAAGTTAGGGTTGGTTGCACCCTCAAAGGGTGGTTTCTTATATTTTTAAGATTTACCACAATTTACCCAGGTAAATTTATAAATGACCTGTTTTTGGATTTTTTTTTAAAGTAAGTGGTTTTCAAAATACAGAATTTATTCCAGTTAAGGTTTCCACTCTGTATATACTCGTATATATATATATATATATACTCATTAGGGTGAGCCAAAAAAACTAACCTATCGGATTTATGGGTTAAAATGAACCTACATAGCGAGCAAAAAATTTTCCTGCAAGGAAAATTTTTTTGCTCAATTTTAAAAGGTGTCGGTGAGCATTCTAAGTTTTCCATTGAAATAACACGTAAAAAAATCTTTTTTCATTAAAAAAAATATAACTTTTGAACCGTTTGAGATAAAAATTTTTACGTCGCGGATTCTTGTAGAGCATAAAATTTCCTACAAAATCTATCCCAGAATTATTTTTTTTCAATTTAAAAATTCGTATATTTGAAAGCTTTGAAAAGTGAAAAAAATCATAATATTTAGTTTTAGTGTTTTTTGACTAAAAATGTTCATTAGGGTGTTTCATTTAAAACGAAAATTTTTTTTTTCTTGCTGACACATGAAAATTTCGGTTTTAGGTTGAAAAAAAAATTCCCTGAAAATTTGAGCCCTTAATTTTGATTTTAAGTACTTCCTTTTTAATTTTGTAGTTTTTCCATATAAAAAGCATGTATTTTTAATCATTTTTACTTTAAATTTCTATATTTTGGCCGGGTTTTGAATTATAATTTTTATCACCATAATAAAGGCCCTGCATCAATTTTGTTTTTGATTTATTTACGTTGATTGTAGTAGCTCCAAAAGTCGTTTTTTCACTTTTTTTCATATTTTTGAGAAAATCGAGCGAATGACTGGTTTTACCGAAAAAGTTCAAATAAAAAAGTTTTAGAAAATTTAATTTTTGACTAAAAAGGTTTTTACGTTCATATCACTAAAGTGCTTTGTTTAAGAGATATAAGCAATATATAGTTGTTGAATGAAATTACATAAATTTCAATAAAACCTATTTTTTCTTTGTTTTTGGTTATTTAATTGCTTATATCTCTTAAACAAAGCACTTTAGTAATATGAACGTAAGAACCTTTTTTGTCAAAAATTAAATTTCCTACAACTTTTTTATTTGAACTTTTTCGGTAAAACCAGTCATTCGATGGATTTTCTCAAAAATATGTGAGAAAAAGTGAAAAAAACGACTTTTGGAGCTACTACAATCAACGTAAATAAATCAAAAACAAAATTGATGCAGCGCCTTTCAAAAACTGTGAATACTATGCAGAAAATTATGGTGATAAAAATTATAATTCAAAACCCAGCCAAAATATAGAAATTTAAAGTAAAAATGATTAAAAATACATGCTTTTTATATGGAAAAACTACAAAATTAAAAAGGAAGTACTTAGAATCAAAATTAAGGGCTCAAATTTTCAGGGAATTTTTTTTTCAACCTAAAAACCGAAATTTTCATGTGTCAGCAAGAAAAAAAAAATTTTCGTTTTAAATGAAACACCCTAATGAACATTTTTAGTCAAAAAACACTAAAACTAAATATTATGATTTTTTTCACTTTTCAAAGCTTTCAAATATACGAATTATTAAATTGAAAAAAAATAATTCTGGGATAGATTTTGTAGGAAATTTTATGCTCTACAAGAATCCGCGACGTAAAAATTTTTATCTCAAACGGTTCAAAAGTTATATTTTTTTTAATGAAAAAAGATTTTTTTACGTGTTATTTCAATGGAAAACTTAGAATGCTCACCGACACCTTTTAAAATTGAGCAAAAAATTTTTCCTTGCAGGAAAATTTTTTGCTCGGTATGTAGGTTCATTTTAACCCATAAATCCGATAGGTTAGTTTTTTTGGCTCACCCTAATACTCATATATAATATATACTCGTATATATTATATACTCGTATATATTTCAAATAAAAATGCGGTATGCAGTAAACTGGACGCAGTTAAATACGGAATAATTATTTAAAGTATAGTATAGAAAGATAGGCTTCGCTAATTTTGAGTCAAAAGCAGGTACGGTATTATCTTATCTTATCTTTTTATATTTCTGTGGGTAAAAGGCATAAGGGGATAAGTCAAAAAGAGCAATTTTTCGGTAGAGACTTAAACGTGATCGCATTAATTCAGGAAATATATTTATGGTTAGCGAGTATACCCTTTTGCTAGCATATGACATGTGCTGGCAAAAGGATATACCCCCTAACCATAAATGTATTTCCTAAATTAATGTGAACACGTTTAAGGCACTACTAAAAAATTGATTGTTTTGACTTATCCCCTTATGCCTTTTACCCACAGATTTCATTATTCTTCGGGCTATTAAAACAATGGTTTATTGACCTCTGTTTACCTCTTTTATTGTTTTTTATTTTTTCATTGTAATTTCGTTGTTCCTCCGGATTTTTCTACGTGAGAAGGAATAAACCCGAAGCCTTGGCAGGCTTTGTGAACTTTTGTAATTACGAGTTTTTAGTATTGCGAATAGCGATAGGCAAATATTATTTAAATACTTATCCGAATTTCGCCTTGTTTCCGTGGTAAGGGTGACACTATTTACTTTGCACTTTCGTTCTGGTCCGTGGCGTGTTTATGCACTTTGGGGTCGCGGAACTGTACTCTGTTGGCCGGAATTATATATAGAATAATTACCTTTTAGGTATTCTGAATTTAAAATGCACTGTTTCTATATCGGCTATAGCCGCTATGCTTAGATTAACTTATTAATAAAATTACAAAATATAAAATTATAGTAGGTATTATGTAAATATAACATTATTTAGTCATAATGTCTACTATGATGAAATAAAAATGAAAATTGAATTTTCGGATTTTTTTAAATATAACATTATTTAATGTTTAATTTAATTTATATTGTGGATGCAATAAGTAACAAAATCTTGCGGGTGGTTAGTACGCCGCGACCGCTTTACCTAAACTGGGTAAAAAACCTAGCAAGGTGGCCATTTAAACTTTTGTTTGATCGACATAAAAACTGGGTGAAATTTTGTTAAACAAGTTTGTATTGTTTCTTTAAAAAAATTGTGGCTAACATAAAACCGCCACTGTCATCCTCCATAGCAACCTTAGTTCTTCGTACAGAAAAATTATATTTGAATTCCATATTTTCCACAAAAATAAAGATATCGAGGTGAACCAAAAATAAAAATGTTAAGAATAGATGTAACTTGATAACTATAACTTAATTTAGAACAATACACTGTTTCGCCACTTTACAGAGTGTCTTAAACTTATGGTACAAAACAAACGTGACTCAATTTTTTTTCGCGCATCGTGTTCGGTTGGTGATTGCGTGATGGAGGCTTTACAAGAGCAACTGGAAGAGCTTCAAAAACAAAATGAAGGTCGGCTGTTGTAACTTCAGCAGCAGCAACAACAAATTAATTCAGCAAGACGAAGGAAAAAAACAGGTTTGTCAAGCAACTCAGCCACCTTCCTCAGAAGTTCATCGCGTTACTGTGAAGCTTCCGCCCTTCTTGAAGGACAAGCCGAACCTCTGGTTTGCTCAGGTCGAAGCACAATTCATGATCGCCCATATCACCCGGGAAATAACCAAATATTCTTACGTGATTTCACACCTGGACGAAAGATACGCAAATGAGGTTGAAGATTTAATCACCAATCCACCTACTGACACACCATATACCACATTAAAGACAGATATTATTTGCCGCATGTCAGTGTCAGAAGTGCGTCGTGTGCGCCAGCTTTTAATGGAAGAGGAGCTTGGCGATCGTACCCCTTCCCAGTTTCTCCATCATCTGCGATCCTTGGTCCCTGCTTAAAATACCCCATAGAGACCTATACAAAATAATCTATCGGGCGCTACCGGATTCTATATGTGCATTTGTCCATGGGTTTTTCCGGATACAGCCCGATAGAAAATGTATAGGAAATTACCTATAGGCACACCATAACTTTTACATTTTCCCTATTGAGACCGATAGAAAATAACTCAATGAAGGATATATAGGGATATCCCTATAGAACAACCATAAAACATTTGACAAAATTTTATTAAAACCTATAGGGTCCTATAGGGAAAAAACTAATTTCTACATTTATGTGTATTTTCCCCATTGAAACCGATAGCAAATAAATCAATGGTGGATATCCCTATAGAACAACCATAAATCTCAACTACGGGTCCTATACAAACCGATACACCCTATAGAAACACCATACATCCCGATACAAATATCTATCGGTTTGAACAGGGTCTCTATGGGGTATTTTAAGCAGGGGTAGGTTGCGCCACAGTCCATGATAACCTTCTTCGCACCGTGTGGATGCGTCTTCCTGTCCACGTCCAGGGGATTCTTCAGACTCAAAGTGGACAAACCTCAGCACCGACACACTTGCTATCACAGCTGACAAGATTATAGAGGTACAGCCTAATACACCTCTACTCTTAACCAGGGAGAGGTAAATAAATAACTGTAAAATATAATTCAATAAATTCAATTATTATAAAGTTAATTATTTTGTGTTATTCGGTAAACCTACCAACCCACAAACCCAATCTCGAATTTTTAAAGCATAGGATGTGTTTACATATAACCTTCAAATATAATAAGTTAACTTAAATATGATTTATATAAATTCCTCTTTTCCTTTATAAAAGGACAAATCGAGAAATATATTTTTATACCGGAAATCTAATCTTGTCCCTACGAATTCTAATATTGACTTGTAATGTATTGATATAACATTTCATGAAACTCACCCTATGAAAAAGTTTGACTGATTAGTGCTAACTCACCGCCCACCCAACCTATGCCTTGTCTATGATTAGTACTACCTTAAAATTTTGCAGGGTGGTCTCTATGTGTAGTTTTTTTGTATTGTACTTTATAAATAAACATTTTATATTTTTTATGTTTTTAAGCTTTATATTTTAAGGAAATATTTGACAAAATGGATTTTATGGTAATAATACAAGCAAGGACCAGAGCTAATCCATTTGAATCTATACGGTCAGCATTTTTTATGAACAGGGCTGCTTTAAAAATGGCAAATATCGATTCAGCTACAGACTTTTTGTTTACCGATATTCAAAGAAATGTAAGTAATTTTTTAAAAACAATAAATTATGTTTTATTTATTATACAGTCGAGTGGACCACGTTTTTACTATTGCGCATGTCCCTGACGTCAATTCGACAGTCAAAATGCTGAGTAAGCAAACCTAATATAGTCCAGCCAAATGGTACATATATATATAATATAATATATATTAAATGCAAACGTTGTGTAATCGCTCTTCACTATGTAGTAATCAAATTGTGATTGAGATTCAGAAAATATTAGTTGAGATTTTATTTTTTGTGGTGCCAGACGATTTTATGTCGCCCAATATTATTATAGGAAATGATTTAATTAAATTAAATATTGCTTTCGTTTGGACTCTTTTCGTGAATTAAATATTCAAGTTTGCGAAACAGAAAACACGAATTTTCAACATTGATACGGATTTGTTCAAAAATCACCCTGTCGCATATTTTAGTAAACGAACATCTGGCCCCGAGTCTAGATACCACTTTTACGAACTCGAAACATTAGCCGTTGTTAATGCTGTCAAGCACTTTCGATACTTCTTATTAGAAAATTATTTTACAGTTTTTACGGACTGTATTTCTCTAAGTCTTCACGTACAAAACATGATCTTACGCCTCGTGCTCATCGCTGGTGGGCATTTTTACAATCGTTTGACTTTGATAATGTTTATCGTGAAGAAAAACGAATGAAACATGATAATTTCTTGTCTCGAAATCATAGTACTCCTAATTTAAATAACAAGGTTCAAAATCCCAGTGTACCGAAAGATTAAAAATTGTAAATCCCGTTATTCAAAATATCGAATTACAAAAAGACTGGGTGCTAGTAGCTCAACAACGCGATGACAGCCTTTTAAAACTTATTGCCGATCTAAAGAGCAACGACCTCGACGTTAATATTGCAAAAACATATGATATTAGAAACAATATGCTCTTCCGAAAAATAGAGAAAAATAATTGTTCACTTTGTTTACCTGTACCCAAATCAATGGTTTGGTCCGTAATAAATCATGTTCATGTGGGAGAAAACTTTAGAAAAAAATTTATTTAGTTTGTATTTAGTAAAATAAATGAAAGAATGAAAATGCTGAGTAAGCAAACCTAATATAGTCAAGCCAAATGGTACATATATATAATATAATATATATTAAATGCAAACGTTTTCATACTTTAAGGGTAAGTATTGGATGACATGGCGACCCTGTGCCTATTTTCCGCCCCCTTATTAATTAGTGGTCTACGCTCATGAATCTTTTTTAGAATTTTGTTAATTTTTTTTATAAGATTTGTGTGACGATGTTTAGGCTAAACAAAAAGTCCGAGGCATGTGGAGAATGTCATTTTCCTTGTATTAGGGGTTTATGATTAAGTCTAACACTAATATGATACATTTATTTTAGTTAATATAATTTATGTGAATTTGTCTAGACAAAATAGTTGTAGTTTTTTAAAACGTAGAAAATGTGTTAGGGGTACGCCCCCTAGTTTTTATGGGAACCGCCAAGGTAAACTTGGCGAACGGAACGGACCCGGCAGAGAGATCTTGACTTGTCTTGAGACAAGTTGAACCTCTGAATTTATTTTTGATTGGTTGGTCTAGTGGGTCGCGGATCGTTGATTTCCTTTTTATAGCTAATAATTAGTTTGGGACGATTAATATTAATTTTGTGTTCTGTGCGGATTTATCTGACTACGTGTTTTATTAAATAACTTTATATTAAAAACCAGTGTACGCTACGTAAAAAATAGCGCTATTACCGAAATTGTTAAAAAAACGTATTACTAACAAACTTTTGTCCGTATTATTAATAAATAAAAAGTAACATCTAAATATGGACAAGTCAAGATTTTTTTAGATTTTTCATCTAAACCTGAGATTATAAATGCCATAAACAAACATTAAAGCTCTTAAAATTATCTATAATTTCCAAACTTATTTGGTACGGTCACAGAGGTCGTCGAAAGTCATGTCGCGGATCTTTTGACAATCTGTAGAAACTTGTCTAACAATAAGAGAGGCTCTACAAGTTTAATTTTAAGCGTTTATTACCTCTGGAAGTGTTTTTTTTTTATTTTCAAAAATTATTTTCGATTGAAAGTACTTAACCAAACAGTGCACTGCATTCTCCACAACACACTATCGGAGAAAATAAAACAGTAACCATTGATGTGCAGAACACTTATTTACTTAAAATACAATGTCAACACCAACGTCAAGGTCAATGTGCTATTTAAAATTGTACAATTTTTATAATAAAACTTCACGGGTTACTTTGACAATAGAAATGGTTATTTTTGTTACATCAATGATTAGTGCAAGGGACTACAGTGAGCAATATTCTGCACATTAAATATTATCTGTTTGTCGGGAGCTAATCCCGAACTAATTTCGGACATCCTAGACATTTAAGTAAATTACTGTTCTACACATCAATGATTACTGTTTTTTTTTCTCGGTATACCAAATATATGAAACAACATTTTTTAGAGAATTTCTAAATCTACAAGTTTTGTTTTAAGCATATGGTGCAAGGTTTACCTGAAAAATTTAAAAACCATATTTACCCTTTACGTGTCCACATTAATATGTTATAAACATGTTTTCTACAACCAAGCGTAGTACAAATTTGCGCTTCCAAAAGAAAACGCAAAGTGGCACTTTTCCAAGGAGCAAGCGTTTTTTTACTCGCCGAGCAACAAAGTAACCAAAACGCTCGCTTAGCTAAGCGGTAACTAGTTACCATGGACACCATAATAAAAAAACGTCTAGTGTAGGTTATCAATAATTATTAATTTTTATCAAGCATTTTACACAGCAAACGGAAAATTATAGAGGTGTATAGAATGACGCCACGTTTGAATATCGTTTTCTAAATCTCCCTACGGTATAGAGTTGTATTCGTCAGTCGAGCGTTTCAATACTCTCCACAGTATAGAGGTCGTAATTTCACTTTTGAACTAGTATTAATATAAAAATTATTTTATGCTTAAAAAAAACTATATACGACATGATTGTGATTTTTTTCATTTTATTAATTAATTAAGCTGTGTTGAATATTTTTCCTAAAGGAATAATTGCCAATGGGCCATAAATTCATTTGTTCGTAGATGCTACAATAACCTGCACTGGTGTGTACTTTTTCATCAACCAGATTTAAATATTACAAAACTAACATATACCAGTGGAGATAGTGCAGGGTCTACCAACAGACCTAATTACTAAATTATTAAAGTTTAATAGCATATCGATCATTTTTTCAACATAACCTCTGAAATTTTTAATAAAAATATAGGTACTTTATATAATACATAAATATACTTAACATCATATCATCTGTGCTTTACATACCTGAGTTGTTACGGTAAATAAAAATCAGACAAAGGAACCAAAGAAAGGAACTATTTTCAACAAAATCATATGCAGAAAGGAGAAAATTCAAACTACTTGCATCCATCAAAAGATCAAAACTTCTTGCAATATTACACCTTCTTTTTATACTCTCAGAAATATTGACTAGAACAGTATTAGAGAGACTCCAGTTTCTATAACTTGGTAGAGTAAAGAGAAGTCGAAACCGTTGCGATATTGCATTGCGCTGTTTTTGTATAATTCTCGGGGACATTAACGAAAATCATTGCCAGTAAAATTCGAAAAGCTTGAGTTTCTATGTCTCTGAGGAGAATAGGAATCCGAAGTTGCTGCACCATTGGACTGAACTCTTTTTTAATAATTTCTAGAGACATAAATGACTGCACCATTCGACAGGGTCGAGTTTCTACCTATCTTTTGAATATAGAAAATCAAAATAATGTATCTTGTAAGACACCATTGAGTTTGACTTTAAATATAGTCGTGCATAGGTATAGAGCAGAAAAATATAAAAACAAAGCACGATTCAATACAGTTATGATAAAACTTTAAGATTTGATATTCAAACGCGGAGTCATCCTATACACTTCTATAATTTTCCGTTTGCTGTGTAATAAAATCACAATTTATGAGAGCGCTCTTAATACACAAATAGCTATTATTAATTAATAATACGGAAAAAAGTTTCGAACAAAAGTTCTAGGTAATACGTACGTTTCTTAACAATTTCGTCAATGGGTATTTTTTACCTAGCATGCATATTTACATAGTTAATCAGACTCACCCATAAATATGAAGATGGCGGCCACCCTTGCGAGTTTATCAAAAGGAAAAAAGTGACACAGGGTCTTCATGGCATCCATTACTTACATTTAAAGTATAAAAACGTTTGCATTTAATGCAGACCTTGTGTCTAAACTATGTTTGTACCGTTTGACTTCACTAATATTAATAGGTACCTACTATGCATATAAACTATACTAACAACGAAGCCCTTCAAAACAATATTATGCATGCAAGTCACGTGACCAATAAAAGCGAGAAAGCTTGTTCTATCAAGTACATCGTATTTAGGACGTTTAAGTAGGCTTCAGTGGTCCCACACGCCAAAAAAGCTGGCCAAAATAAAAATGGGACCGACAATTCCACTCCTGTTAATTTAAACCTATTTGCTGACAGATAAAAGGGAAGGAACAGAAATGCAAGTGACCAAAGTTAGCGAATATTTTTCTATTTACCTTCTCGAATGTATTATTGTATAGAGTATTGCAAAAATGACCTAATTTATTTACTCGTGGAATTTTCTTGACTAATTCCACTCGATGTTCGATTGAGCAGTGTAATGTACCTTAGTACCTAAAATAGCATGGAAAATATCGCCTAGTGAGAAAAGTATGTCCCTAAAATAGTTTGCATCTAAACTGCGCACCACTCAATGTGTCGCCACCACAAAGTTCGTCCTTTTTCAAAACGACATAACTTTTTTGTTTCTTGAACGATTTTATTTTGGTGTGTGATGTCTGCTAACCCCATCCTCTGGCAATGCATGCTGTAGATATTAAGCCCACGGTTCTTCAAGTAAATTTCCTACAGGGTGATATGTAAAACTGAAAAATTTCAATAACTTCATCCAAGCCC